GGGACCCACCACTTATATAGTATGATGATGATGAAGAAAGAAATATTAATTAGCCCTACGTGGCCATTTTTGATAGGTTTGGTAGTATTGGTAGGAGCTCTTTTAAGGAAGGAAATGACGGGAATACCCTTGGTAGTCCAAGGGAACCACCACTTATACAGTATGATGAAATGACGGGAATACCCTTGGTAGTCCAAGGGAACCACCACTTATATAGTATGATATATAATAATAATATATATATATAGTATGAAGTATGATGATGATATATAGTAAGTTGGTCGTCCAAGGGATCGACCACTTATATAGTATTATATATAGTATGAAGTATGATGATGATATATAGTAAGTTGGTAGTCTAAGGGAATCACGACTTATATAGTATGATAGGAGCTCTTTTAAGGAAGGAAATGACGGGAATAGCCTTGGTAGTCCAAGGGAACCACCACTTATATAGTATGATGATGACGATGAAATAAGTGTTAAAAGAAAGAAATATTAATTAGCCCTACATGGCCATTTTTGATTGGTTTGGTAGCATTTGAGAGCAAAAAAAAGTGCTAAAAGAAAGAAATATTAATTAGCCCCACGTGGCCATTTTTGATTGGTTTACTAATATATATATATATAGTAAGTAAGTAAAAAATAATAATAAAATAGATAGAAGTAGAATAGAAAATAGAATATAATAGAAAGAAATAGAAAGTAGAAATAGAGATATGATGATATGATGAAAATAATATAAAATAATATAAAGAAATATTAATTAGCCCTACGTGGCCATTTTTGATAGGTTTGGTAGTACTGGTAGGAGCTCTTTTAAGGAAGGAAATGACGGGAATAACCACCACTTATATAGTATGAAATCATGGGAATACCCTTGGTAGTCCAAGGGAACCACCACTTATATAGTATGATAAAGAAAGAAATATTAATTAGCCTTACGTGGCCATTGTTGATAGGTTTGGCATTTTTGATTGGTTTGGTAGTATTTGAGGAACCACCACTTCTATAGAATGATGAAGAAATATTAATTAGGCCTATATGGCCATTTTTGATAGGTTTGGTAGTATTGGTAGGAGCTCTTTTAAGGAAGGAAATGACGGGAATACCCTTGGTAGTCCAAGGGAACCACCACTTATATAGTATGATGAAAATAATATAAAATAATATAAAGAAATATTAATTAGCCCTACGTGGGCATTTTTGATAGGTTTGGTAGTATTAGTAGGAGCTGTTTTA